ATAATAATAATAATAATAATAATAATAATAATAATAATAATAATAATGAATACTTTAAAATTTAACTGTTGAATAGGCACTTAAGTAAAACAGTGAACTATTTGATTATTAATAATTCATCCGTTATAGCTCTAGATTGGGATTCTTTTTTTCACTTTTCGTCTATATTGCAGATTACAGTTTGTGGTAAATAAAATTTCATTTTTATTTTATTCACCCTTTATTTATACAGGTACTGTATACTGTATACTGGTACTGTATACTGGTATATATATATAGGTACTGTATACTCATTAAGTCACGAGAACTCATTTTCAAGGAAGTAAGAAGCGTGAAACTGACCTTATTAAACTTTGTTATTAGCACAGTGGAATTGATTGAGAAGAAAATAACACAAAATTTATCAATGTAAATCAACATTATTACACCATGGAGATCTGGATTTGGATTCATACTCAATATGAAAGTGGAAAATAACACAACAGGGTGATTCATCGTCAGTGAATATTCCTCAAGACAAGTCTAAATGAGGCTCAGTAGTGTGTGTGGCCTCCACGTGCCTGTGTAACCTCCCAACAACGCCTGGGCATGCTCCTGATGAGATGGCGGATGTTTTCCTGGGGAATCACTTCGCAGACCTGGATTAGGACATCAGTTAGCTCCTGAACACTCTGTGGTGCGATGTGGCCTTAGTGGATTGACTGAAACATGATGTCCCAGATGTGTTCAGGTCTGGGGAGCGGGCAGGCCAGTCCATGACATCAATGCACTCATCATGCAGGAACTGCTGACACACTTCAGTCACATAGGCCTAGCATTGTCATGCATAAGAAGGAACCCAGGGCCCACTGCACCAGCATATGGTCTCACTATGTGTCTGAGGATCTCATCCCAGTACCTTATGGCAGTCAGGGCACCTCTGGCTAGCACATGGAGGGCCCGTCAATCTGGCAGCGGTGCTCGAGTACCTGACCACCGAGATCCTGGAGCTGGTGAGAAACTCAGCTCGTGAGGAGCTCTGCAGACTGCTAGGAGGAGTGACCATCACTCAGGGAGGAATTCTGTCTGGCATTCAGACAATCCTGCTGCCCAGGAGGACCTAGAGGCCCGCCGGATGTGACAGCAAGCTGGATCTGGGTGGACGGATCGGTATCTGTGGCCAGATTCTTCGGCTTCACTGCAGGAGATCCTTCCTGCCCACAGCTATCAGCATCTATAACAACTCTTGAATGAAACCAGGATGATGAGCTACGACAACACTTAATTTCCCTCTGGGATTAATAAAGTATTTTTGAATTTGAATTGAATTTGAATTTGAAATACAAAAGATCTGCAAAAAGACCTGAAGCTCTCAACCTTGACCTCTCTAAGGGATTATAAACAACTGCTAAGTTCATGGCAAAAACCAATGCAGACATGTTCCTGTTTTTAGTATTTTACATTGCTTTACTGTATAATGTAGCTTTTTTTTTTCGTTTTTATATCATTTATTTTATTTACTTTCCATTTTATATAATTGTCTACTGTTGTCTGTACATCATCTGTGTTCTTTGCTTAAATCAGGTTTTAAATCAGTCCTCGAGGCTCAATGAGACTAACCTGTAGAAATAAAGGTTGAATGAATGAATTAACAGCTGATTGGAACAGGTTCGTTAAAGCAGGAATAAAATCAGATCTTATCTCTGTCTAAAACTCAGGAAGTAAAGTAGTACCTGTCATTTATTGTTAATGATCTAAATGCTGCGCATTTCCAGTTGTCTCTTGTGCAGGTGATGACCCAGATCTCTATAGCCCCTCCCCCAGGTGATGACCCAGATCTCTGTATCCCCTCCCCCCAGGTGAT